TTTCCTAAAAACAAAATAAGGAAATTGGTTCTTGGATGTAGAGCAGCTGCTTCAGGCTCAACCCAAGCAAGCCTAGAGCTCAGTTCCTTGGGAAGTGCAAAGGCCCTGATGCATGGGCCAGCATCTTCTCCTGCTCTCTGGTACCCCTGCTAACGTGGTGCTAAGCCTCAGGAGCCTGCTGAGCAGCTCAACTGCCTTTGTGGGCCAGACATGTCTAGGAGTGATGTCAGGCTAATAACAACAGGCTGATTGTTAATAAAAACAAGCTGATCTAAAATCTGATTCGGGATCATAAGCATAAGAACAGAAACATAAAGAACAGAAATGTAAAAAATGCAAGTCCATGTGGTTTTATGGAAAAGGATCTTGTTGTACCAACTTGACTTCATTCCTTTGGATCCCAAAGCTGGTCCATAAACATAAGTGCATATGCAACATCCTTGTAAATATTAGAGTTGTACAGCGTGGCATTCCAGTGAGGGAAAAAAGCACCACACATCAGTAGAGCATGTGTTAAATGAGCTAAGAGTTGGCTGTCTGACAGATCTCAGAGAATGGTGATCAGTGTGGAATCGCTGGGGCCTAGATCTGTTTCTACAGTGGAAAATCCTTGGCCCAAAGCCGTGCAGCCTTCTTCACCAGTGAGCTGGAAATAAAGGTGGAATTGCTCCCAAGGAAGCTGGGAGGGGACAAAAATTATGTGGGAAAAGACAGACACCCACAAGGACCAGTCAGTCTCTCTTACTACGAAGACATTAAATAAAATCATAGAATCATAGAATCATTAAGGTTGGAAAAGATCTCTAAGATCACAGAGTCCAACCATCCAGCATCAGCATATTCACCACTAAACCATGTCTCCAAACGCCACATCTACCTGTCTTTTAAATACCACCACTGATGGTGACTCCACCATTTTCCTGGGCAGCCTGTTTCAGTGCATCTTCCCCATGATTCTATGAAACTGGGTACAATATATAGTTCTGGTGTCCACACTTGGGAGAGGATGCTGAATTGTCTGTGTGGGGAGCAGGCAGTCTGGACATAATTCCCTCTTGGTAGCCATGGACACCATAACTGTGACAGAAGGAGCTGGAGGAAACACGTGCAGTGTCTGGAGAAGGTACATGCCCTGAGGGAAGTATCTCTCTGGAGTCTCTTTCAGTGACCCAGTTTTGCACCCTATGAGCTATAAGGTGCCCTTTTCTTCTCTGTCATTGTCATAGGACTACAGGATAAATCAGGCTGGAAGGGACCTCAGGAGGTCTCCTGCTCAAAACAGGGCAGTTGTTGCTGAGGGTCAGCCCAGTTGCTTACAGCTTTATCCTGAAATATTCCCAGGATGGAGACTGGAGATAGAACAAACTGAGGACCTGCAACGAGAAGGACTAGACTTTGTTTCCCAGATATGTCATTTGGCTACAGCTGGGGGAGTTACAGACATGTGTCTCTCTGCATTACCCAGCTGTGCTGTCTCCCTCAACCTGGCAGATTTGCAACCCAGATAGAGCCCCAAAACGTTCAGCCCTGGAATTTGGCAGCATCCGGTGAGTTTTCACGGCAGCCCTTTATCACAGCTCTTGTTCTGAGTGCTGAGCATCCATCCACGAAAAACTTGAGCCTTGAACGGGGCCCCCCAAAACCAGCCTGGCCGTCCTTCCCTGTCACCCACGGCTGCCTGAGCGCTGCAAAACAAGCTGGCGTTGTTTGCTTTAAAGATCAAAGCTCATTTAAATGCATTGCTTCTCCCTGTCTCCACCTGATATCCAGACGAGATGCCCCGGCTTAGGTGAGTCAGTGCCTGGCTGAAGTCAGCCGCAGTTATCTCTGCGAGGCGGGGGCAGCTTTTGCGTCGTGCTTCTCTCAGCGCCGAGCCGTCAGGTCTCTAATCATCTCCCGCCCCCGGTCCTTGGACCGAGCCCCGGCTTGGCCGTGACACGTCCCTGGAGGCTGCCCGGCTGCTGTGGGAGAGCGGCGCAGCCTCCTCTGCTCTGCGAGCCCCAAGGCAGATGTTGCAACAGAAACCGGCACCTGCAGCCAGGGAAGGGCATTTTCCACAGCCACTGCTTTTGCGGGGAACTCCCCGGCTGCGTGCGGCACATGCAGCTCTCCAGTGGGATGCGGGAGAAGCTGTCAGTTGAGTCTTTTCTTTTTTTTTTTTTTTAATTTTTTTTTTTTTATTATTTTTTTTAAGGATAAGCTGACGAAGATCCAGGTGGCTGTTTGGCAGTCACGCTTTCTCCTCAGTTGCTGACGCCGACAGCGAGTGACTCAGCCCTTTCCAGGCTCCCCTGCAAGCCTCTTCCCCTCCTGCCACTCAAATGTTTGCTCTCCCCGGCCTAAACAGATTCTGCCTGGAGGTGCTGCCCGGCCAGTGGCTCAGGCAGGGAAGCACTGCTCCTTGCTGTGGTCATGGCATGGAGCAGGGAATCTGCAGGACGGCCTTTCTGAACCGTGGAGATGGTCCCGTGAATCAGGGCAGAGTCCTTCCCCTCCTTGTTCTGTTCCCAGGGAAAGCTCCCAGGGCAAAACCCACCCCCGACGATCGGCGTTCCTGTGCCTTTGCCGAGCAGTGCCTAAGGCCCCGCTTGACTTTTCAGTTATATTTGTTGCAAACATTTTAATTTCCCTCCCAGCCCGAGTGCATGGGAGTTTCCAGATACCTCATCAAGAAGCAGGGCACAACCTCCCACCTTCCTGTGCCTCGTGCCCAGACCCACAGGGTCCCCCAGATCCTGGGGGGAGGTGAGACCTTCACCCCTGCACAGGTGATGGTGCAAGACTCCCTGGGCCTAGAGGGAAGCTGGAAGACCCTTCAGGCAGCAGAATGTCCTCAGGTGGAGGTGTTGCCAGAGGGCTGATCCCAAGCAGGTTGTTGGGAGCAGTGATGAGAGCTGTGCTGTGCCCAAGGAGAGCCAGAGCTGGCTATGACAGCCAGCAGCAGTCCAAAATAAGCAGGAAAAGGTTTCACCATGGTTCAGCACGTAGCAAACAAGGAGCAAGGCAACCCTCAGAAAGCATTTTTTTATGCAGTCTCATGAGCCTGGACTATGGCTGGTTGAGGCTTTATTGAGACCTTGCAACCTCTGCTTCCATGGCTCTGTGGAGAGCTGGAATGCTGAGGTGGGTTAATAACATGGACAGAGTGGGCTGTGAGCCATGGGTCATCTCCCAAGGCTTTGGATGTCTCCAGTGTGGATGTCTCTGTGTGAGCTAAGAGGTCTGGGGTCCCTCTGTGGTCCTGGAGCTCTGGAAGAAGTGTCTGTGCCAGGATGAGATCAGCCCCTCCTGAATCAATTCTCAGGAGTGTTGTCTCTTGATCTCTGATGACTGGAAAGGGAGTCAGGGATGAGACCAAACTGGGGACACCCACCTAGAGCTGGAGGGATCTCACTGATGTTAGTGTTTGCAAGACTGAAGGCATTGCAATATGGGGCTGTGATGGGGCTTGCAGTACCAACATCATCAACTGAGAATGGGTTAAGGCACCATGGCACCAGTTGGGAAGAGATCATAGAATCATAGAATAGAATCATAGACTGGTTTGGGATGGAAGGGACCTTAAAGATCATCTTGTTCCAACCCCCTGGCATGGGCAGGGACACCTTCCACCAGACCAGGTTGCTCAAAACGCTGTCCAACCTGGTCTTGAGCACTTCCAGGGCTGGGGCATCCACAGCTTCTCTGGGCAGGTCCCTGAGTGGCCAACTTAGACCTTTCAGTAAACCCCTAACTTTATGGACTTTCTTAGGGAGGGCAGGAATCTGTGCATGGAGTGGCAGCAGCCTAACATGGAGAGCTGGGATTTGGCCTGTACAGGGGTGCACGTTGTTCAGTGACGGAGAGCAAGGAGGAATGCAGGAGGTAGGAGACAGCGTGTACAGGCAGGAGTGCGGGTGGGTGTTTCTCCAGAGCACACGCAGTGTTCAGCAGTCCCCCCGGCCCTCCTGGTGGAGAGGTGAGGCAGCAATTAGGCTGATTGAAGGCCCAGTTGCTTCTTGCACAACAGCAGAGGCAGTGCCCCTTGCAGCTGTGTGGTTCAAAGCCTGTGAGGAGATAAAGATCTGCCTTGCCGAGCACTTGGGAATTGCTGGGGGAATCCAAGGACAGCTCTGGCCACACCACCCGCTTCAAGTCTACCCTCTTCCAAGCTGGCATCTGGCTTAAAAGCCTTCCTGAGCCTTCAGCAGCACACGGGGAGTTTCCTCCCCCTTCTCCCACCCGACTCTGTGTAATGACTTGGGAAATCACACAATTCGTGTCAGCTTTCCTTGCTTACCAGCCTGTTCATGTAGGATCTGTCTCCTCAGCCACCATGGAGACTCTGGTCTTTGCCTTCCTTAGTCATGGGGGGCAGAGTTAAAAACCCAATTGATTTTATGTGCAAAGCCTGTTTTCATGTCTGACAGGTGGTCTGTGCCAGTGGTGAAGCACTGACCAGAAGGGGTAGAGTATGAGTAGTCTCCTCTGGGTGTACTCCCAGGTCCAAACAAGGTTGGGCCATGGTCTACTGGATATAGAATCACAGAATGGTTTGGGTTGGAAGCGACCTTCAAGATCATCTTGTTCCAACCCCCCTGCCATGGGCAGGGACCTCTTCCACTAGACCGGGTTGCTCCAAGTCCTGTCTTGAACACTTGGCATTACAACTGGCCTTGAACACTTCCAGGGATGGGGCATCCACAGCTGCTCTGGGGAACCTGTGCCAGGGCCTTACCACCCTCACAGGATATTTCTTCCTAATATCTAATCTAAACCTACTCTCTGTCAGTTTGAAGACATTCTCCCTTGTCCTGTCACTTCAGGCCCTTTCAAAAGTCTTTCTCCAGCTCTCTTGTAGCCTCTTTAGTTACTGGAAGGTTCTCTAAGGTCTTCCTGGAGCCTTCTCTTCTCCAGCCTGAACAATCCCCCCATGCACTTTCACCCTTGGCCAGAATCTCACTCTGCCTTTGCCTCCAACCTCCTGACAACTCCCATCAGCAGCACCAGGCACACAGGGATGTACAAAACAGTGAACGCTTTTTATTTCGCTGCTGGAGTGTAACCACTGTAATTTCATAAAACTCAAAAAACAACAAAAACAAAAAAGTGATTACTGAAGGCATACATTGTTTTTTTTTCCTTTTTACACAAGACATTAAGTAAACAGACAGGTTTCTTTTTAAAAAGGTTATAAAGTGTCAAGATCCTATACCTCATCTGCATATTCAAAGTGATGCCGTCTGATACAAAAAGCATTGGGTATAATAATTTAGCTATGGCTCAGACCAAAAAAAACCAACAAAACCAACAACAACAAAAAAGTCATCTGGGCTTAATCTACATACTACTATGATTGCCCAGGGGGTTAAAAAGGAAAATATGCAGCTCTTTGTTGCACAGAAAGGAACAGCAGGGAAGGGGAGAGTTCATTGGGAGATCATCGTCTGAAGGGAAGCCGAGCTCAGTGGAACGCCCCCCTTCCCGGGAATGTCTGCTAGAGCCTGTGAGCAGGACCACAGCCAGCCCAGGATCCCCCCACTGCTAAGAAACCAGCCACATTTTTCTCCCACCAGACAGTATCCCATCCAAACCCACCCGTCAAACTGCACCTACCCAGCGCGCTGGAAGCAACTAAGATGTAAGACCTTGGAAACTGCATGGAAGTCACGAATCTCCCTGTGTGCTTTCCCACTGGGACTAATAAAAACCAAACAAATCCAATGAAAAAAAAATAAAAAAAGAAAAGGACTCGTTCTATTGTGGATAGAGGAAGACTCTGCTTTCTTGGGAAATCTGTTCCTCATAAACCTCCTCCTCTGAAGCTCCCAGCCCAAGCACTACACTGTCAGCCTGACTGCAAGACTCATACCATGAATTTACAAATGCAAAGTCTTCAAATACGTGTCAACAGAACTTTCTTAAAAACAGAGCTGGACATTTGTGACGGCCACATTGCCTGTCTTACCACCACCACCTCCTCCATGTGCTCCATTGCTACTGGAAAATGAAGAACAGAAGGGACACGTAAGAGCACATGTGTGAGAGGACAAAACTAGGAATGCCTGCTCAGATTTATTTCCCCACACAAGGTTCAGCCATGACTGATTGCTGGGTAAAGCCCTAAATCTCTTGTTTTGATGGTTGGGCCATCTCTGCTTTGCCATCCCTTGGGTCTCCATAGCTCTAGCTACCAGTCTGGAGCCCTGTTCCTGTAAATTATAGAAGGACAGGTGCTTTCCATGGAGGGGGTGAGGGGGTGGATAGGTGTAAGGAGGTATAAAACCCAGTATGAGCCTTTGCTTCTGCAGAGAAGGGCAGGATGAGGTGGCTGGTTTGTAGCCAAAGCCGTGGGGTGTCTGTTCCCTGTGACATCTGCCAGGACACAATGGAAACAAGCAGCAATAAGAGAGTTGGCAAACACATCAGATTTTTAAGGCTCTCCTTTCAACACCTTGGCATCTAAGGTGAAACAAGGATTAACATACAAGGAGAGACCCTAAGACCAAGCCATGAGCCCTTGGCTGCTTAGCCACACTCTGTTGCTGTGTCTACTGAGCTTCAACCTTCCCTCTTGCCCTACTGTCTCAAGACTTTTGTCTTAGGTTCTTCTTTGAGATTTCTGACCCAAATCCCCCTTGGAAGACCACCTAATTTTCCCTTTCGTAACTCACTCTAGGCCAAAACATTGAGGAGCTGGTACCTCAGAGGAAGAAGCCCAAGTCCATTTAAAACAAATCCCCAATATTTCACAGTCCAACCCAGGGAAACCTTGGATTCAGCCCTCCAGGCAAGGACAGCAGCTCCTGGGCTGCCAAGGTGTCCTGTTCATGGAGCAGCACACGGGGAGGTGACAGCACACTGCAGGATGGAAGGGGGAAGATACCCATGAAAAAAAAAAAAAGAAAAAAAGAAAAAAGTGAGGACAATTAAAGCAGCATGATTTGGGTTTTTTTTTGCTGTGACTCATAGACTGAGGAGTATCAAGATGCCACTCTGCCAGCCAGAGGTGCTCAGGGTTTGGCCACATGGATTGTACTAGGTCAAGGACTGCTTGAAGCTCTCTATTTTTAAGGTGATTGGGTTGATGCTACATAAAGCAAAGTCTGTCCTCCTTGTGTTTGCCCCAAACCAGCCCACCAAGCTGAGATCTGAGTGAACTCTTACTCAGGAGTGGCCAAAGGAGGCTGAATTCAAGCCCTTCTGTCCCCAGCCTGACTCCACTCAAAGGCATTGTGGCTGGACCACTTGGCAATGTTCCATGTGATGTTCCCACAGGCATGGGTGAGGAAAACTGCATCTCCAAGCCTAGAAAGCAATGGTTCCCACAAGGAAGGACATGGGATTGCGAGGTTTCCTCGCTAGGAGAGATAGGGGCTGTCCCTGTTGTAATGCCAAGCTACCTCCTACGTACGTCCCTAGGGATGAAGCAGCACCTATTTTAGCAGCAGGACAGACTTAGGCAGGAAGGGAATGGTGACCTGCCCAGCAGGGTGCTCTAATACAGGGTCAGGTCTTTTCATCAGCCCAATTTCTCGCTTTTCCCAACAAACACACACCCTTCAACCATTGCTGCCTTCTCCACGAGTCATGGGAACCAACAACCTGGGACAAGGCAGGAGAAAACTCAAGGGACTAAGGGCTGTCCTACAATGTGGAAGCTTGGACAGGCCCAAGGTGTGTGACATGACAACTCCAGAGCCACGTGTGGAGGGTCCCCACCTCACTTGGCACCACAGCCTATCCCATGGGATGGCCATCCCTGATGTGCAGGGGGGCTGGCTCCCCCATCAGGACAGAAGTGGTGCTGGAAACTGCTACGAACACCTTCTCTGCCCACCCACATCATGGTACAAAGCTATCCCCTGCCCTTCTGCAGGTACTGAAGGTGTCTCCCCAGCCTTCCTCACCACCTATCCCAAGGGATGAACCCTCTGAAGCAAATGTCTCTGGATATCTACATTTCGGAAGGCACACAAACCTTTGGAGACACCCAACACAGGGCACTGAAGGCATTACAAGCTGGGCAGCCTAAAACCACACAAGGTGGATGACCAGCCCTCCTTGCCCCAACAACTGGGATCCTTTGCAGTTGAGGGTGAGCAGCAGCAAGTCCAAAGGATACCTGGAGCTTCCATTGGGGCACACGTGTGCCCTGGTGACAGCAGATGGCAGCCAGCTGGGACCTGGTGCTGGGGATCAGTCTGGGGGACCATGGGTCACCTCCTGGGCTCCACTGGGCAGTGATGGGAGAAAGAAGGGCCAGAGGACGTGCGGAAGACAAACAGGGTATTTTTTAGAGTTCTTTTTTTTCCTTTAATTAGCAAATTTCTTTTCATCCTTGTTAAAACAAAAAAAAAACCACCACACCCCCTGTGTGCTCACTGCTCCAGCTGCTGCAAGCGTTCAAAGGCAGAAAGTTGAGAGATGTTGAATGTCCCAGCTAAGGGGCAGCTCTGAGTCCACCCCACCAGGGCAGACACCGGGGGGTTTCGGGGTGTCAGGCGCCTCGTTACAGATATGGAAAAGGCAGGTGCAAAATTTGGTGATGTGCTCTTGCCAGGCACACACAAAATCCCCTAGGAAGGATGCAGCCCAGCCACTTGGCCAGCAAACGCAGTGGTGGAGGACATGGATGTGCCCTGAGATGCACATTGTGTCCTCAGGGCATTGCTCCCAGAACTGGCATTTGTGCCGTGACTCAGGGACGGGGACATGACAGCAGAGAACCCACCGCCCTGTGCATTGAATTTGGAAGTTATAAGTAAGAGCATCTAACACTTTGGGGGATTCAGTGCTGACCCTACACTGATCCTGGCAAAGCTGGTGCTTCGAAGCCCTGACATGACCCCAAGGTCCCCAGTGGCTCTGCCTTCACTGCAGCAAACCCCCAGTGAGCCCCATCTGCAGCATCCCAGCTGGCATTGAGGCAACAGGGGGATGGTGAAGTGGCAGAGGAGCCAGGAGAAAGGGAACAGTGCTGGGGGTCTTAGTTCAGCCCTTCCCATGATCACAAGGCCAGCACTGAGCTAAGAGCCCCTGTCACCTCTCCCTGCCATCACCACCTTCCCCTGAGGCCACCACGCCATCCCCACCTCCCTCCCTGCTGCTGCAGCCCTTATTTATAGGAAGAGGTGGGGAAGAGTTTTTCCAGGGGTGCTCTGGCCCTCCTGCTCCCCCATCCCTTCTAAGCTGGCACAGCCCTGCCTGCATCACCCCAAACCAAGCACCCTTCACCCGCCCCTCTCAGTGCAACGGGGAGGTGAGAGGGAGGAGGAGGAAGGTGATGAAGAACTGTCGCACGAGCTCATTGCCTGCTAACGCCAAGAGTCAATGGGCAGAGCTGCCTTCCTTCCTCGGGGCTGCAGCTGGAGAGAACAGCCTTTTCTGGGGCTGTGCTGTGGGTGCTGGAACACACTGATGATGCTCCGTGTCCCCCACCCCAGCCCTGGTGGTGGCGGGGGGAGCGCAGGGCTGGGCGAGGGGGTGACGGGGTGGGATGTGTGCGAGTGCCCGGGTGTCTGTGTGCACGGGTTTTGGCAAGAGGTCATTGAGGTTACATGATGCAGCATTTGTTCTTGTGGTTGTGAGGGTCCTTAAATCGGAGTCTCTGCTTTGGTCGGTATTTTTCCAAGTACGTCAGCTGCTTGCTGTTGATGGCTCCTCTGCGCTTCCTGCGGGGACAGAGAAGGGCCAGCATGGTCAGTGGGGTGGCAGGAGACCTCCCCATCCCAAACCACCCCTGTCAGGGTGCTGAACTCGCCCTGCCTGGAGCAGGAAGGGATTTTGGAGGATGAGGACACGTGCATCCTTCAAGGATGGAGAACAGGCACTGCCCCCAGCAGCTTTTCTCTCTCATCCGCCCTGGAAGTCTCAGGACAATGGAGAGACTCTCATGGAGAGTTGGGGAGGAAACACGTGGGGCAGAAGTGGTGACTGCCAGAAGCCCCCCAGGGAGGCTCCCAGCTGCTGCCACAGCCTCCTGCAGCCCTGATCCAAAGGTACAGAGTGCTGAATACAAACACCTCCCTTTTCTTCCCCCGAAAGGAGAGAAAAACAAAAACCCCCAAAAAAACCCCTGGGACACATCAGATCTCTCTGTTTCCTCACAGAGGGGCTGTTTTCTCTCCCAGCAATGAAACACCACCCGACTTACTGTCGGATGAACTGGATGGCATCTTCATACTTCATCCCGCTCTCGATCAAGGCCAGTGCAACAAGGACAGGAGCACTGAAAGGCAAAGATGATGGTCACTCCTCAGCCACACTGACATCACATCATTTAAACTCCAAGGAGAAGCTCAGGCAGCTCAAATCCCGCCCTGTAATTCCAACACCTATTCCCACTCAGGTTTCACAAAACCCTGCTCAGAGGGGGACTGGGGAAGGGAAGGAGCAGTGCAGGCATGGTTTCAACAAGGTTTCACAAAACTCTGCTCAAAGGGGGACTGGGGAAGGGAAGGAGGAGGGCAGGCATGGTTTTCCCTCTTCTCTCTGCACGGGTGGGGTGGCAGGAGGGATGTTCAGCTCAGACTCACCGCCCTAGCCCAGCCACACAGTGCACGGCCACGCAGCACCCGGGGTCCTCGCAGAACTTGGTCTTCAGCAAGTTGAGCCAGTCTTCTACTATCTTGCTGGGAGGAGGTGCTCCATCATCGAAGGGCCAATCCTGCAAGGTCAGGGGAAGAGAGAAACACTGTCAATACTCTCAGGGGTTGTTTTTCACTCAGGGTAACAGTGTTTGGGCCCTTGGATGACTGTGTCAGGAACTGGGCTCACAGTGCAGCTCTGTGGGGCTCTGTGGCACTAGCCAGCACACAGGAACTCCCTGGCTGCATTAGCTCAGGATTTGAAGCCATGCAAGTCCAGGTCTGGGGTCTTCCCATCTCCTATGGACATGTTCAGTTTTTGGGAGCACCCACAGGATCTACAACACGGTCCCCACGACCCCCCTGCCTCTGCAGACCAGGATGGCCACACCCTGCACCCTCCCTATTCAGGTGACCTCACTGAGCTTTGGGGCCACGTGCCTCCCACCCTCCCCCTCTCCTGTCAGTTCCCATCTAATTCCAGCACTTGGGAGTGCAAAGACACGTTGTAGGGAATTTGAGCAAAGGCAGCTTGGAGATGGCTGAAATCTCAGAGCCTGATGTAGTGCCAAAATTCAGCTTCCTGAAACACATGGATGGGAAGGGGAACACCCAAGTCCCGAAAGAATGGTCTGGGAACCCCCTAACACAGCCCTAGAAACAGTGACAGGGAGACAGACCCCTCCAAATGAGGCCATTTAAACATAAACCTTCAGGAAAGGCTTTTAAGGGACAAAAAAAAAAAAAAGCCCATCTTCTTCCAAGCTTCATCCTCAACCTGCAGGGGCTCAAAATTTGAGTTTGGTGAGGAAGTGGATAGAACCAAGTGTTCCAAAACGGGGATTTTTGCCCCCAGAACAAGATCTGGCAGAAGGAGCATGGCCACTGGTTATGCAGCAGCAGGAGAGGGACAGGCAAGGCAGCATCTCCTGGAGGGCTTGGTGAGCCCTGAAGGGTGGGAGGCCAGGGGCCCTAATCCTAGTTTTTCAGGAGTAAGTCACTGAGTTGTTGTGCTGGAGTCATCCTCGGTGTGAGATGGCAAAATAAGCTGCTTCATTTCATTGTTTGAACAGCTAATGTGATTTCTGCTGGGATTTGCTAGGAGAGGAGCATGCTGGGCTTCAGGGTACTGTAATGCTTGAGCCAGCCCACCCTGCACAGCCTGTGCCTGTCCTGAAAGGCCATCTCCTCCCCACAGTGCCAGCAAAGCACCACTTCAGCCATGAGTGCAGGTCACCAGGCTTGCACTGGGGAGGATGCACCACACCACAAAATCATTGTGTGATGGAATGGGTTGGGTTGGAAGACACCTCCAAATATCACCTAGTCCAACCTCCTGCCATGGGCAGGAACACTTTCCACTTAGACCAGGTTGCTCAAAGTTCCATTCAACCTGGTCTTGAACGCTTCCAGGAATGGAGCATCCATCATTTCTCTGGACAGCCTGTGCCAGTGCCTCATCACCCTCATGACAAAAACTTTCTTCCTTATGTCTATCTAAACCTGCCCTCTGTCAGTTTAAAGCTGTTCTCCCTTGTCCTGTCACTCAGTCCCCATGTCAAAAGTCCCTCTCCAGCTCTCTTGCAGCTTTAGGCACTGGAAGGTGCTCTAAGGTCTCCCTGGAGCCTTCTCACCTCCAGGCTGAACACTCCCAGCTCTCTCAGCCTGTCTCCATAGCAGAGGTGCTCCTGCTCTCTGGTCATTTTTGTGGCCTCCTCTGGGCCTGCTCCATCATTCCAGCATGACTTGGTGACTGCCACCAGCTTTAGAAGCTGCTTGGGATTCCCTGTGGCACATGGAGGAGCTACAAGCACAGGAAGCATCCAACCACTCAGTGAGTGTGCCTGGGACAGGATCCCTGGACATGTGGGGTGACTGTGGCTGTGGGTGCTGGCACACAGGCATGCTACAGCAGTCAGGCCTCAGTGGGCTTGTGCTCTATTCCCTGAAGAAAGGGATGGGATATATAGGCATAGTCTAAATATAGAGTCACAGAATCATTAAGGTTGGAAAAGCCCTCTGAGATCATCAGTTCCAACCATTAATCCAGCACTGCCAAGTCCACCCCTAAACCATGTCCCTAAGTGCCACATCTACGTCTCTTAAATCCCTCCAGGGATGGTGATTCCACCACTTGCCTGGGCAGTCTGTTCCAGTGGTTGACAAGCCCTTCAGTGAAGAAATTTTTCATAATATCCAATTTAAACCTCCCCTGGTGCAACTGAAGGCCATTTCCTCTTCTCCTATTGCTTGTTACCTGGGAGAAGAGACAGGACCCCACCCAGCAACAACGCCCTTTCAGGGTGTTGTAGAGAGTTAGGTTTCCCCTGAGCCTCCTTTTCTCCAGGCTAAACACCCTCTGCTCCCTCAACTGTCCTCATAATTCTTGTGTTCCAATATATATAGATATAGGTATATATATGTGTCAAATACATATACCAAGATACATATATATAAAAGAATTATATATAGATACACCAAAAATGTATATGCCAAGATATACATATCTCAAATATGTATACAGATATATGTGATATAGTTAAATATAGAGATATATCTGTAGCTACATAGATACATCTGGCTATAGATAGCTAGGATATAGATATCTCTCTATATGATTTGCCTTATATGGTTTCTATATGGTTATAGAAACTTTGATATACAAGCTATTTAGTTTCTATACAGTATCTTATATAGTTTCTCTAACTCTCTGTATAAAACATATCCTAGATACAGATATAGAAACTCAGACTGGAGGACTCCAGTTAGAAATGGGGTAAAAGGCAGAAAATTTGGCGTGTAAGTGAGCAGATATGATCTCCACCATATGAATTCTGTAAGTAGGATACAGCTATCTTTATAAGATATCTTCTATAGAGATAGTGCATCTATACCTAGAGACATCTGTATCTGCAGAATCTGTATCTACAGAGATATAGGATAATCCCTGAGAATCTAGGATATAGCTTGCTCTCTCTCTAGGATATAGATTATGCAGAAAGAGCTATATAAAGAGGACCTACACAGAGCAGACCACCCCAGGAGACATGAGGCACTTCCAAACCCTTCCCTAAATAATGAGCAGAGCCTTACTTTCCAGCTGGAGCTGAACTCCCTGGCAGGGCAATCACGCCTGACATCATCTCCAATTACTTATCAGCCAAGATGTAGCCCAGGCAGCTGCCTGCTCTGCCTTTCCCAGCCTGCTGCCTGCTCCCTTTCATCCCTGCAGCTGCACCAGCCTGCTGCTGGGAGAGCAGAGAACCCTCACACCACCCCCCAGGATAAGATAACGCCGGGGGTAATGGGAACCACGCGCATCTTCCACGTGGGATCAGGCACTCTCATCCCTGGATGCTTTAGAGCCTGAGCAACAGGCAGGGAAGGCAGCTGCCGACTCAGCCGGATGAGTCACAGTTTCGGGTGTGTGGGCAGCACTTCTTTTTTTAAAGCACCAGCCTCATCTCGGCTCAGCTGGCCTTCAAACTCTGCTCCTGGGCGAGCGTGATGCTGCTTTGGTCTCTCAGGGTGTTCAGCAGCCTCGAGAGATGAGATATTTAAGCACCCTCCTGCTGCCCACCCACCATGACAGTGATGCCATCCTTCTCCAGGGGGGTCTTGTCATAGGTCACTTCACACACTCGCACAACTGTGGTGGCACCGTATTTCTTCAGGTCCTGGGGAGGGAAGGAGAAGGAGAGGTCTGAATAAACCCTGCCAGTTGCACCCCAGTTAACCCCAACATATCCCAGCTCTGCTATGACCACACAGACAACTATGGACCTTAAAGTTATACCATGCCCCATCTCTGGACCCTAGAGTAAGCCCCCTATGGTTCATCCAGCCTGAGAGGCACAAGGAAACATGAAATCCCAGGACACCAAACTCAAGTGGCCACAGTAGGATTTTCAACCAGCACCTTCATGACTCCTTGGAGTCATGAGTGCCAGTGGGGCAATTTATTTTTAAGCCCTGACAGCCACACCAGCAGAGACATCACACCCCAGGCAAAGAAGCATCCCCAACACGAGTGCAAGTTCCCTGAAGGAGGAATTATTTGTGCCTGTTGATGTCACACTCCTGCTGCAGAAATGGCAGAAATGCAGGTGGGAGGTGGCTGGGGGGGTCGTAGGACACCCTGCCGATCACACTCAGCATCTCACAGATGGCTCAGGGCCTCCTTCCCAGCCTCGCTGCTGTATCCCATCATCGCTCCAACACACTGCAGGCTCAGGCGTGGGATTTGGGCTGTTTCCAGCATGGCTTGTTGCCCGGCACAAGGATTGCCCCCAGATTACGTGCCGGTGTACCGACCTCGCACCATGAGATCATCCCTGTCCATGATCCACCCCCTTTGTTCCCCGTGTGAGCTCACCAGACCGTGCTGAACCCCCCGCACGCTCGGCAGCTCAGCCAAAAATCTGAGCAGCCGGAGGAAAGGGGAATTTTTCTCCCTTCCCACTGGTGTGGTCCCCACAGTGTGCAGGGTATGGGGTAGCTGTCCCCAAACCACAACCACCTTCCCATGGCTCTCTGAGCCAGTGGCACTCACACAGATGCTGAGCTCCCAGGCAGGACACCATTGCTGGCTCATGCAACACCAAACTCTCCAGCACTACCCAACATACTCTGGGCATTGGAAATACACTGGGATATTTCAGATGAAAAGTCATTACTGAGGTGCTGCGAGATGCTGGGGATTGTGTGTGTGCATCTACATGCATTGCTGCAAAGCCCCATGACATGATGTCCCAGTGGACTTGGCAGGGGTTGCAACAGGAATGGGGAAACTTTCTCCATCTCTACAGTGCCCAAACATGATGCTTGGGGTCCTCCAAAACATCCCCCCCCAAAAAGCTGGCAGTGATTATACCCACTGCCTCAGGATGCCACCAGGGGCTGTGGTACCAAAGGGGAAGTGCCACTGCCTCATTTACACAGGATTGATCCTGGTTGCATCTCAGCATCAGCTTTTAGCCCAAAAAGGCGCAGCTGGACCCCGGTCCCCTGTTCCAGCCTCCCCTCCTTACCTCCAAGAAAGTGTTGAGTGTGGCATTGGTGGGGTTGTGGGTGATGAGGAACCTCATGTTTTTGTAGCAGACCTCCACTGGCGCAGGGCGGTTCATCCGGGCCATGGTGGGACAGGGGGAGGGTGAGGTGCTGCTGACAGCGGCGGGGGAAAAGCCCCAGAAAAGTGTGGCTTGGAGGGGCAAAAAAACCCTAACCCCCTTCCCCCCCAGCAACCCCTTAGCGCTTCAAAAATAAAAATAAAACAGGATCGAGAACTCAATATACAGACGTTGTGCAAATAATCCCAGCTTGTGGGAGCGCGCCGGCTTCCTGACACACCGCAAGCCCCCTCCCCAGGGAGGAGGGAAAAGCCAGGCAGGAAAAAAAATAATATTAATGATAATAATAATAATAATAATAATAATTAAAAAAAAAAAAAAAGAAATCCCTTTGCTGTAGTGTCGGTGTCCTCGGCGTGTGTGTGCGACGGCGAGTGGCCGCCGCCTCCGGCGCTGCGCGCTCCCGGGCGCTCTAGAAAGGCCTCTGCATATGGGGGGTGGTGGTGGCGGGAGGGTGGCCTCCGTCACGTTACCCCATCGGGGTATGTGGAGTACTTGGGGGTGGCACGGGGGGCCGGGAGCCTACGGGGCGGCGTCGGCGGCGTCCGGCAGCGGTGCCTCGCTGGGGCGATCCATGCACGGGAGCCGTGAATGGTTGAGTCGGAGGGTCGGGATGCCGGGCGGGACGAGGTGAGAGCGGCCGGGCACTGCTTCACAGGGCGCGCTGCCGGGGGCTGCGGGGATCACAGCTGCTCCTCAGCACCTCCATAAATCCCAGCGGGGAGCGAGGCTGCAGAGGAGGGAAAGGGAAACACTGTGGTGAGAGTGTGCTCCTCAAGGAAGCCCCTGCTTGGTGGGGGTACCTCTGAAGGCACATCACCCACCACAGCCCATACCAGTATCACTGATTGCAGAATCACAGAATCAATTAGGTTGGAAAAGATCTCTGAGATCATCAAGTCCTGCCTTTGACCCAACACCACCTTGTCAACTAGACCATGGCACTAAGTGCCACATCCAGTCTCTTCTTAAACACCTTCAGGGATAGTGAATCCACCACCTCCCTGGGCAGCCCATTCCAATGTCTGATCACTCTCTCTGTAAAGAATTTCTTCCCTACATCCAACCTAAACCTCCCCTGGCAGAGCTGAAGACTGTACCCTCTTGTCCTACTGCTGGTCACCTGGGAGAAGAGATGGACCCCCTACCTGGCTATAACCTCCTTTCAGGGAGTTATAGAGAGTGAGAAGGTCTCCCCTGAGCCTCCTCTTCCCCAGGCTAAACAACCCCAGCTCCCTCAGCCGCTCCTCAAAGGGCTTGTGCTCCAGTCCCTTCACCAGCCTTGTTCATCCTCATCTTCGCAGAAGATTAGAAAGCGAGGTGGTATTTAAAAATAAAACTGAAATATCATCTGAAGAGCTGAAATAGCACTGGAAAGCCAGAGGAGGTAACTCACAGTTAGACAGAAGGGAAAAGCACATGGCAGGGAAGGGCTTGTTCTCTCTCCTGTGCCACCCAATATCTACATCCACTGGAGGATTTAAGCACCCAAGCCACGCGAGCCGACCCTGACACCCACCCTGTCCCCCCAGACCTCACCTTTGTGTCCCTGGAAAGCACAGAGAGTATTTCCACCCCAAATGCCTGCTGTGCCCGAAACCAGCTGCCACTGCCTCTAATCGGCCACATGCTCCCGGCGCTGCTCGAGCGGCTCATGTCTACCAAATGCACCTCTAATGCTCTTAGGAGAACTAAGCCGCCTGCAAATGAGCTTTCTTGGGGAGGGGAGGCAGAGGAGGGAGTCACATGTGTATGATTTCACTAGCTTTAGCGGTGGATGTGTCTCCCTGCTTGCTCATCTGCATCACCATACCACCGGCACATCGCTCCCTATAAAGTACTCCAGCTCTGTACCTGTGGCATCTTTGCCTTCAAGGATGGCAACAGGAGGAAATAAAAAAAAAGAATAAATCAATTCCCACTGCGGAAACGCCAAAATCCAAGAGATGATGGGCCCTGGGTGGAGGTGAGGGTTCTGCCAGCCCCACTCAGAGCTGAGGGAAACCCGGTGCCTCCCCAGGTTGTTACCCACCGGACTCTTGTTTTGAAGCTGCTCCTTCCCCTGGTCAGAGGCTGCTTAGAGTCGCCTGGCCAGAGCCTCAAAATAGAACATAAGCACATAAGTAACTCGAGCCAGGCCAGCAGGCACCCCCTCACCTCTCCTCATGATGCCCCAGCAGACAGAAACTTTCCCTCTGGATTGTTTTACTCTGATGTAACGAGACAGGTGGGATCAGGGAGGTGAGCTGAGCACTGACCAGCTCATCACAGCACCTGGGTGCTGACAATGGGATCCTCCACGCCTGAGCAGCATTTACAACCTGCTCGCCAGCTTCTGCTACTCCTGTGGCACCCAGGAATTAAAAAGTCAAATAGCAAAGGGGGAAAAAAGCCAGGTGAGGATTCAGAGGAAGCAGGGCTGCTCTGCTGAATGTGCCCAGTCTGGCTGCTAAAATCATGGACTTTTCCCATCAACCATGTTCCATCACTCCTGACTAATTTTTTTTTGCCCAGAAAAAATGGGGTAATGCTACTCCAGAGCCCTGCAGGGATATTCTTGCAAAGTTCAAACCCTACTTAGGCTGCAGGGGATGAGTGGGACATTCTCGGGGCAAATTTCCAGTTCCCATTGAGGAAATCAGATTTTAGCAGCTGATGGAGGCAGAAAGCTTGGCTGAAGGACGGGAGCAAGGCAGGACCTGGCTTCCAGCAGCACTTTAGGTGTGATTCAGAGCAGACAATGCTGAAACTCCCAAGGTAGCTGACCCTCCCTACCTGGACCACAGCAGCTGGAATCTTTGCTCAAACTTTGCAACAATCCTGCATGATGGGCTGGGAAACCTGCTCTTCCCCTGGTGTTTGCCACGCTTTTCCAGTGATGATCCCACCCATCACTTTTGTTTGTGGGGTCTGCTTCCCCCTGAGATGATCTCACCATGGCTGGATAAGACTCCACATGGTATTTCTGGAGGGTAATTTTGGGCTAGTTTTGGCTATGTGGCTCCTACAGGTCCAGCTGCTGAGCTGTGGGCCAGCACAACCATGAAAAGAACCGGCCGCCCAGCTAGTGGATGTTTCCCAAAGAAAACCTGCTGGCAAACCCCTCAGCAAGGTTCATCTTTTTCACTTAAAGGAAAACAGAGGTTAAAACCCTCCAGAGGGATGGGAGGTGGGAGGGATGGGCAGCCACAGGTGCCTGCTCAAAGGGAAGAGCTGATGCAAAGCAGGTATAGCCCCAGAACATCCCCTTGCAAACCCAGTTTCTCAAACAAAGGACTCAAGGATCTTTTGCTTTTCCTTTTAAAGCCTTTGGCTCTTGGCTCTTCCAACTTCCACTTTGCCTAATGATATCTTGCCTTCTGCCCCTTCAGATATGACACACTACACCAGAGGTGCTCAAGGAACAACTGTAAATTCTCCTTCCAAACAACCTCATACCTGGTTTTAAGTGGCTGCAGAGACACGTTGATATGAACTGTGCCCATGTTTAACTGTGTCCTGGATTAATCCCACCCGTTGAGCAACCCTGTGGGACTGGGAGCTGCTGTGAGCACCAGTGTCCACCAGGAGCAGTGGCTCACTCCCTGCCACCCATCCAACACACAGTTCATGCTCCATCGGCGCTCCGGATCCCACACAGTTTTTTACTGGCTTGGGTGTGCTCGCTGCCAGTAACAGAGGTTCAGTGGGAACCGCCTGCGTACGGGAACAGCCAGTGCTCCTTTCCCACAAGGTCTCTTCTCTCCAGTGGAAGCGTTTCAAGTATTTTGGCACTTGCACGTCTCAGCAATTCAGCCCCGAAGCCCATAAATCCCTAATGGATATTCAATCGCAAATCATCCCCTGCGCTACAGGCTGAGGCGCTGATCTCCATATTAAGCACTGCAGAACAATGTGGAAAAGGGAATTTCAGCTAATATTAATAACCTGCCAAGCATACATAAATCCTTCTTATTTGAGCGCTATGGGGGATCCAGAGGAAGCATGTGAGGACACAGTGAGCAAGCCCTGGATGAGGATGCTCGGCAGTGCAGCACTGGCCTGTCAGGCTCACACCCATCAGGGGGAAGCCTGAGGAAAGGAGGTTGTAGCCAGGTGGAGGTCAGTCTCTTCTCCCAAGTAACAAAGCGACAGGGCGAGAAGAAGCAGCCACAAATTGTGCCAGGGAAGGTTTAGATTGGATATTAGGAAAAATTTCTTCCCTGAAAGGGTGGTATGGCACTTGAACAGGCTGCCCAGGGAAGTGGTGAAATCACCATACCTGGGATGATCAAAAGGTACATGGATGTGGCAATTAGTGGTGGACCTGGCAGTGCTGGGTTAGTGGTTGGACTCAATGATCTCAGGTTTTCAACCTTAGTGATTCTATAATTCTTTTTGCACCAGGACTGTGGAAGTTTCTGCTTCTTCCACAAGAACCTGAGCAGCCAAGAGCCCTGTGAGGATTCAGTGAACACACTTTGGTGTGGCAAGGGAGCAATGAAGGATGCTGTTCTGGAGATGGGGACCACCGAGCCATCATCTCCTTGTCTTACACCCCAAATGAGAGGGGATCACAAGGGTCTCCAAAATACTCCTTTGCAGTGTGGCAGCTCCATTACACACATGTCTTGGCCTTGTCCCAGCTGTCCAGGGACAGATCCTGCAACAGCAGGGATGAGGCTGCTCTTCCTCATGGCAACCAGATGCAAAACAAAGGTCAGGTCTTCTTCACACAGTTAATGGAAGAGCTTGGCTGGAGCAGTGAGCAAGTGCCAGACCTGAAGGCTGTGCTGCGGGTACATGGGGTAGCGGGATGCAGCTGCTGGAGTCAGGTTCTTCTAAACACAGCAACTCCCCAAGCAAAGGAAAAGGAAGCTTTGCAGAGCCAAACTGTTGCTCCACGTGGGCTTTAGCAGCGGGACTCGGAACAAAGACTCTTGCTCACCCAAAGAATATGTATCTCACCCTTATATAAATATAGCTGTCTCTGAGTGAGCACATCCCCCATTCAAAGCTCACCTTCAGAGAAATACAACAAAACACCCATCTGTGTTGCATTTCCTTGACCTCTCTCCTGGTTCCAGCCCCTGTAGCAAGACATCAACCAGCCTTTTCCCCTTAAGGCTGATCAAGTCCTGCTCTCCCTGCTCCCAATCCCACCTCTGCAGTAAGTACTTCCACCACCCTGAAAACTGAATGCACGTTTCTGAGCAGTCCCAGTTATTACCACGTAGCAGTTCTGCACAGGACTGCTGTCACTGGTATGTGTGACCATGGGCAGCAGGTCTGTGAGGCTTGGCTGCACACTAGATCAGCACCACCACCAGCACCACCACCACTGCCCACCAGCACCACTACTGTCACCACTGCCACCAGCATGAGCAGCACCACCACTGCCACAAATGCCACCAGCATGAGCAGCACCACTGACACCACTGCCATCAGTATCAGCAGTACCACCACTGTCACCAGCACCACTGCCACCAGTACCAGCAGTACCACCACTGCCATCACCGCCACTACTGCCACCAGCAACACCACTGCCACCACTGCCACCACTGCCACTACTGCCACTGCTACCACCAGCATGAGCAGCACCAGCAGTCACCACTGCCACCACCAGCACCAGCATGACTGCCACCACAGTGACCATTGCCAGCAACTGCTACTACTGCCACCATTGCCACCAGTGTCACCCAACTCTCACCGGTGTCACCACCAGCACCACCACTGCTGCCATTGCCACCA